AGGAAAGGTATTTTTCAGGTATATGTAGAGGAGATGAGACAAAGATTTTAGCAGATTCTGGAAATAAGAAGTTCAGAAAGGCTGGCAGAGGGAAAGTGACAGGTTCATAAAATTAAAATGTTAGGCAGAGGTCAGGTGAAGTTAAGGGATTAAAAAATACCAATGACATCATGCTCACTACTGTGTTCCTCCTGTAAAAATAACAGCAACAGTAAGAGTTTTGCTATATGATTTGTCAAGCATAAATATAAACAAATCAAACAAAATCTTCACATATTCCCTCCAAAGGACAACCTAATGATGATACTGCATTACAACAGCTAATATTCATGTGCCAGGCCCTATCCCACATGTTTTACATATATTAGTTCACTTAATCATCACAACTCTATAAAATGGGTTGTTTTGTACCCATTTATAGGTAAGAAATTGTACCACAGAACATGCCTAAGGTGACACAGCCATGTACCTGGGCCTTGAATCCAAGCAATCTATTTCTTAACTACCATGTTATTCTGCAGAAAAGTGGCCTCTTCAAACATAAATTGAGGTCATGCTCAATTCCTGAAGGCCAGATTAGTCTTATGTTAACAAACAAACTGAAATAAAACACAAGTTACTAAAAATATATCAGTATCATTTAAAGAACTGGTATAGCAAAAATCTACTAATTCTAATTATTATAAATTATTTCATGTTGTACCAACATTTGCAGAAATTATAATGAGTATAACTGCTCTTGTTCCTTGTACAGTTTTATCTACAAAATTTAAAAGCTACCAAAAGACCCAAATAACAGGTTTATGATTTCTGAAAATGAGAGCCCAGCTTTAGTTGAATGTTTCACAGGAATAAACTAAGATGAATTCTAAATGATCAGGATCTGCCGGGCACTGTGGCTCATGCCTGTAATCCCAGACTGGTCTCGGGGCTCGAGACCAGTCTGGTAACTGGGTGACATTAGCCGAGTGTGGTGGCACATGCCTGCAGTTCCAGCTACTTGGAAAGCTGAGGTGGAAGGACTGCCTGAACCCAGTAGGTGGAGGCTGCAGTGGCCATGAGGGTGTCTGGACAACATAGTGAGACTCTTGCTACAAAATAAAAATAAAAAATCGCTGGGCACAGTGGCTTATGCCTGCAATCCCAGCACTTTGGGAGGTGGAGGCGAGACAACTGTCTGAGCCTGCAGGGTTGAGACCAGCCTCCACCTGCTGGGCTCTGATTCTTCTCTCTCAACTTTCCAAGCAGCTGGAACTATAGGTGTGCGCCACTACACCAAGCTAATTTCTTGATTTTTTTCATTGTAGAGACAAGGGTCTTGTCAAAGTGCCCAGGCTGGACTCAACCCTGTACTGACTCAGGCAATCCTCTCACCTCCACCTCCACCCCCAAAGTGCTGGGATTGCAGGCATAAGCCACCATGCCTGTCAATTTTTTTTTTTTTTTGTAGCAAGAGCTCGCTATGTTGTCCAGGGTAGTCTGGAAATCCAGACTTAAGGCCTCCCAAAGTGCTGGAATTACAGACATGAGCTACCAAACCCTAAGTCTAAGTATTTTATATCAAATCTTACCTAACCAAAATCATCCTTTCTCTAATTTTATCCTGTTTAAAAAGGTCAAAAGATTATTTCAAGCAAGTCACCAATCATTTCTTTAATTTGCAAGTGGCTACCCTTTCTAAAGGTAAGGATATGATCCGAATTTTGCCCATACTTCTAATCAGTGAGTTTAAGGATTTAAAAGCAAACTCCAAATACTATTCCTGAAATCTAGTTCCTAGGACAGAAAGTTACTGCAGGTTCTCATCCTAAAAAAATAAGGAATGTGGCACAATTCTGAAAAAAATTATCAACATACAAATAAAGAGATGTGGTTCAATTAGTTATTTTAATATTATTTTAGTTTTTTAATAACTATACCAAGGAAATGTTATGGTTTCTTAATCAGAGAACCACATCCCATTTCGGCGGTACTGCTAAACTTTTCACAAAACATTAATATCATATATTCATGAAACACAGAACTTTAACCCACTAAAAGCCAAAAAAAAGGAAGCATTATATTGGAGCATAAATAAAAATTATGATTTGACCTCCCCCCTTTCAGGTAGATTTGAAAACAAGTTTATCAATATAAACTGCATCAAGTGAAACTCTTTAGAGGCAACTTTGGGGAAAGGGCTTAAAGTAAACAGGTCATTCCTAAATCTGGGTATAAATGTTTTCTTAAAGCAAATTATGCTGTCTGTCTTGAAAAACAAGATCCCTCCCAGAATCTGCAAAGTGAACTCTGCAGGAACAGTGCAGCAATCACACTTTCTGACCAAGGCAACTGGTTAACAAAATTAAGGCACACCATTTGCCAGGTAAAGAAAACTGCATCTTACTTAAAACATCTCAGTTATTACTTAAGATCCTGTGGTATCAAAGGATTACCTAGGTATCATTTACTAAGAATTGGTGTTTGTTTTACTAGATAGCTATGCTTACCGTGACTCTAATGATTTGTATACCACATCACCCAACCCCCAGTCCCTCAAGAGCCTATTTATGTCTCTATTTCAAGTGATAAAATCAGTACCCAAAACAGAAGCCTGAAATGTCCCATGGTTATAGGACTGGGTTTCTCCAGAAATATCTGAGTCACTTCCACACCAAAACAGCACTGCTTCATTTGTAATTACTATCTACCGGACATCTGTAACGTCTCTCAAATTATTGAAGACTAGCTTAACTTTTGTTCTTCATCCACCTAAGCAAGTTATTTACCTGCTGTATGCTTTTAGGTTCCTTATTTCTCAACTAAGCAGGCAGGCAGGATTAACCTAAGATTTATTTCAGTTTTAATACACTAAGATTTTTTAGTTTAACAACTGAACACAGTATTTTGGCTGTCTTGCTACAGAAAAATATATCTTAGAAGTATACATTTAGTGAAAAAGTAATCGTTGACTTGTCCTTCAATTTGGAACCAAAGACAAAAGTTCAAACACTGAGCTACTGAATACCTTATTGGGCAAGCGTCTTGGGCAAAAAGAAAACAAAAATACTGCCCAACTACTGCTATAAAGAATCCCTGGGCTAAGATAATCATTTTTAAAACCAAAATTAAAAATTGTAGAAGCCAAGACAAATGACACGGGAGTTTCTAGTCTATGGTACCACTCAGTGAGCTAGGATTCACTTGGTTCTGCAGTCAAATCCTGAACTGACTTAAAAATAATATGTGACATAAGATTTTCCTTAGTTTGGTCATGCCTAGATAGAGAACTAAAAATCCAAAAAGTCATGAGTTCCAAGAAAAACTGAGAAACTTAAGACAAGTTCTCATCATGACATCAGACAAGCGGAGTTTTCTCCACTATTACTACTAGTTCCAAGATGATAAGCTATCAGAAAATTCCAGGTGATTAAGAGAAAACACACACCTTACATTCTGAGAAGTCTTAAAAGTGAATAATTAAAACAAAATTAACCCATTAATCAACATCTAATGGGGTCCAGTCTTAAGAAAGTGAGGTAACTGGTTTAAGAAAAAAATTTAAAGCACCTATTTAAATATAAAACTGTAACAGAAGAATAAAATTCCAGGATCAGTAGCAATATGAATCCTTGATATAAGAAAATGGGTGTCTGTCTGTAACTGAGAAGGAATCAGCCCTGAGTTTTTTACTATGATTGACCAATAGGAATTAAGTTATAGTTGTGATGTTTCTTTTTTTAAACCACTTTCCAACTCTACACCACTCTGAAATTGAGTAGTTTTAATTTCATACTGCCTTTGAAGTTCCACATCATTAACTGTAAACTTAAGAAATGATTGTGCTCCTAAAAACTTGATTTTTTAAGTTTACTTCCACCTCTGTGCTAATTTCCTTTCACATTTGATAAGGTCTTGGTCATTGGAAGCTAACATTCAAAGAGTTAAGTGTTAACATATTAGTTCATGGATAAAATAAGTTCCAAGATCATTCAGTTACTTTCATATCCACTTCATCGTGGTCCATTTTCTTGACGAGAAGAATATCGATAATGGCATTTGACACGTACATATACTGTAGCTGACTTTTTTTTCCTTCAGTATAACTTTGCTCTTATCAATAATCTATGTTTATGTATGCCGGATGAGGGCAACATTTAGGCAAGCTGCTGCAGCAAGTCAAGCAACAAGTGGCCCAAACTCAGCTGTTTAAAACTGGAATACACTTGTCAACTAGAATGACACATCATCATTTATACCGCAAAAGGTTTAAAAAAAAGAAAGAAAGAAACCATTGGGATTCCTTCGGACTCAAAAGTTTAGCTTCTAAAATATTTATGAAAAGATTAAAACAACGGTGATAACATTACAACTCTCAAATTACGTACACAATTTTGTCTAGGCTCTTGTACTATTACTGCACGGGGAATGGACAGAAAGCATTAATGGACAAGTATCAGAGCACTCCTTCTCCTATAAGGCTTGAGCATCATTAGGTAGGTCAAGATCACACACCTATTTGTACCTTCCTAGGCATCTGGCCAAAAGGAGTAGCTCTTTTCTATAACAAATGCCTTTGCAACCATCAAGGAAGATCTATCCAAAGGACAAGGCGGCTCTTAGTAAGAAGGAACAGCCTGAACTCAGGGACGGAAACGCGCTTCTACACACCGGGCAGCTCGCCCCGGCCGAGCCTCTGCTGAGGCTGAAAAGCGCAGCGCAAGGAGCCTCCGTACGCGGCTGACTCGAAAACTTCCCCACGGATTCCAGGCTTCCGCTCAGCCACTACACCCACAAGGAGAGACGATGGTTCGCACGAAGACGCCCCGCACCACCCCTCGCCCGGAAGCACATCCCTTCGGCTGCCAGGAGCCCGCCCCCGGCCCCGGCCCCGGCCCTGGGCACATGCCCCCACGCCCCCGGTGGCAGCCTCTTCGCGAGCGGAACTCCCCCAGGCGGCGTCCACCCGCGAGCGAACCCTGGGGGCCACACGCCCGTCCGCGGAGCAGGTGGCGTCTTACCTGCAGTTCACACCAGGCGACTTCCACGGTGGTTTCCGTGTCCAGGCCTTTGTAGACGGTCTTGAAGGAGCCCCGGCCGATCTCGATGTCGAACTTGAGGAAGCGGCCGTCGTTGGACATCCCCACGGCCTTGGTCTCCAGCTCCTCGATGTCATCCTGCTGCTGGCTCCGCTCCTCCG